TAACACATCACACACAGTCATATCAACACTAACACATCACACACAGAGTCATATCAACACTAACACATCACACACAGAGTCATATCAACACTAACACATCACACACAGAGTCATATCAACATTAACACATCACACACAGTCATATCAATATTAACACATCACACAGAGTCATATCAACATTAACACATCACACACAGAGTCATATCAACACTAACACATCACACACAGAGTCATATCAACACTAACACATCACACACAGAGTCATATCAGCTTAGATACATTACACACAGATATATATAAAAAGTCATATCATGCCAAAGCTGAGATTTGAAATATACCATTCAGCCTATTCTGTGCATAATCTTAAAGATTATTCCTGTTTTTCTCCCCCAATTGACTACTAACTAAATATCATCCCAACCTACACAAGGAACTGTTGACAGAAGTATATAAGTAAAATTAATGAATGTTTTGATTACTGCACTTTTGACTATATCCTGTGAATGCTGAACTCTATTAGAATATATTAGATGTGTGTTGCACACACAGTTCTGTATAATCAACCATATTACCCCTCTGTGTGGTTAAAACAGGAAGAGAGAATTTAACCATTTCATGCACAGAGAGCAAATGGTTGATATAATAATATATAAATATGTGATATGAATATTCGTAAATAACTAATCTATTTTGTGCTTTTGCTTTTATAAATGCCTCAAAACTCTCAACTTTCAAATCTTCTGAGGAGCTTTTGGATCTTCTCAGCTGTAATGCTGCGGTTCTGTTGACGATCCACATTTTTCATGTTTTGGATTATTGTGTTGTTGCAGAATGCACCACATTTCAGTTGTAACTTCCCAGACTTTTATTGTCTATAGATATTTTCTTCCAGAAACCAGTTGCACTGAAATAAATGACCATTTTAAGCCTGAACACTAGCACTGAAAGTCCTCCAAGATCATCTGAGAATTTCGTTCACTGCTCACATTTCTGTGGGGCACTTATTTATTTATTTATTTATTTATTTATTTATTTATCTGGCATGGTTTGGCTGCACAGGTCCTTTAGAGTGAAGTTATCACTGCAATCCTAAATTCTTTCAACTGATCACCTTTATCCTATCATGAAACATTTCTACTAATTAATCTAATATTTCTGCACTATCACTTGTAATTACTGTTTTAGTCTGTTGTGTTTACTACAGGTCTAAGAGTGACGTCACAGATGTGGTCACATTTCACTACTGATGTTTTCTTTCTCTTTTGTTCTTTTGTTAATCACAAAAAATTATTAAATAAATTTGTACATGCTGCAATAAAAAAAAAATCTTGTAGTCTTTCTGGGCTGCTGTCCCTCCTCAGCTACACAATAACGCCCTCTAGTGGCTGATATTGACATTGAAATCCTATTCTATTTTTTTTTCCACGTACAGTTCTCTTGTTGATCTTTTTCAGTAAACCAACTCTGCATTCCTCTTCATCTAGGAAATAGATAGATAAATAAATAAATAAATAAATAAATAAATATTCTAGTATTCAGGAATTTTGCAGATCCCCAAAATGCTGCTCATGGTTACTTTGATAATTGTTTTTGTCATGTACGGTTTTTTAAAGAATACTTCCATTTTCATTTTTATTTCCAGGAAAATCTTATCTTATCTTAACCAGACGACTAAGAGGTACAGAAGAATCCCCTACCACATTCATAATAAGAACACGTTTTTCTTCTATATCTCGATAATATCTCTTATTTTCGATTGTGTTACCATTTATACCATTTATGTTTTGATAATTTACAATCTTTATTGGATGCATAAATTGTCACATAATCCAGTTTTGTTAAACTGCCATGTGTGGTGTGTGTGTGTGTGTGTGTGTGTGTGTGTTGGGGGCGTATAGTCAAATAAATATCTTCTAAATGCAGTACAGTCAGCTCCAGAATTATTGGCACCCTTTTGTAAAAAATGGATAAATATATAATAAACATTTGTTTATTATGTACCTGATTGTAGGAGTGTAAACCTCCAGCTTCAGGCATACAATACGATATGATTCATAAGGCAATAATTCGATATTTGCCGATAAGACTGAATCTGCTATGATATGATATGATTTAGTAGCCTCCAACTGACCTTTTCTCTGAATCTGGGGTAGGCCTAACGTTGGCCTATCAGTTTAAATTTCATTTAAATCAATGCATCAATCCAACTCATCTGATCCTTTCACCCCTATCTGAATGTGCTTAATGAGACTTTTTTTTTTTTTTTTACCTGAATGTATTTTTTATATCCATTATCTGACTTCTGCAGGTCAACAAACATCTGTATCCTTGTGTAGAAACCACACAAAAGAGATATTACTATTGCTATTGATTTCCCCCAACACACTCACTCCCTCATTGACTTTCAGTATAAGTGCTTTATCCTGGTCAGGGTGGTGGTGGATCCGGAGCCTGTCCCCGGAACACTTGGCGAGAGGAGGGTACACACCCTGGATGGGATGCTGGTCCATCGCAGAGCACCAAATACACTCATCCACACTTAGGGGCAATTTATCTTAGCCAATCCACCTACTGGTGCATGTTTTTGGAAGGTAGGAGGAAACCGGAGAACCTGGAGGAAACCCATGTGAACAAGAGGTGAACATGCACAGAAACTCAGAACTGAACCGGCGATCATGGAGCTGTGAAGCAGCAACTGTTTAGATGAAAAAGAATTAAATCGCTCACTTACTTATACATTACTTATTTTATACAATCGTTTGTCCTCAGCTTTGTAATGGGTGCCAATAATTCTGGAGTTAACCATTTGAAGTAACAGTTTTGGGAAACTTGTTAAAGTATTTTTTTTTAAGTGAACTTGTTAAGAGGATTGCTCTTTGCTCTTTAGCAGAATATATCTGTGCAGTTGCACACATTTAAAATGTTGCACAGGAAAACGATGGAAAACATTTGAGTGTCAGTTACTTCAGTGTCTTAAGCCTCTGGCGGATTGTGGTTAGATGAATCAGACAGACGGGGCAGATGGTTGTCACACAGCTGTAATGGAGGTGTCGATCTGGGCTGGATACTGCTCTTCTCCTCTCTCACAGCTCAGACTCGCCTGACCACAGAAATGCCTCCCGTTTTCCTCTCGGATTCTCAGAAGAAATCGTTTTCCTCACATTTCCCCATATTGAACATGCTCTCATGATCTGTTTTATTACATTTATTACATTTATTACATTGCGAACACAGTGCAATAGACCAAATCCTGGGTGTCAATGGAAACAGAGATTAAACGTATGGCTAGTAAATTCAAGGACAAAGATGAAAGGAGAGCTGTTATATTTTTAAAGGTAGAAGAGAAAAAAGCATCTAATTTGATTGATGTAACCTTGTACAATGAACATATTTTATTATAAATGACTGAATATCAAAAATCTTGTTATATAGGTAAAGATGAAACGGTTGCAGCATGCAGTTATTGGGAAATAATCAACAGCACCAAGCGAAGTTAGTGCTACCACCTGGAAATTGATTATTTACCAACAGCACATCCTGCAGTGGTTTATTCTTAGTGATTATAATTCATTATTAA